AGATCAACCTAGAATTGGACTCCTCCAGAATTTTTTCCCTCCTCAAGTTCTTAGCAGAGTTTTTCTTGACATAAAGGCAAGTAGATGGGATAGTCTGCTGAGAAGGGACATGGTCATTTTTATTGGTGGGCACAGTAGGGAAGAGAGAAGTAGGATTTTGCCTTTTGTGTCAATGCTGGGACTTCAAAAACAGAATTAAAACTGTTTAGTAGTACGTAGGCTTGAGTCTTTTCAGCACCATTACGTGTTTCTTTTCTTTTCTTCCCCCAGTAATTATTCTTTCAGCTATTATAACTAACCACAGCAATTTTCTTAGAACAAAGGAGAGCATGGCAACAATAGCTTTAAAAATGACCAAGTTTAAAAGCCCAAGGTCAGAGTGTAACATGTTGATTTCCGTAAGTATTTCAAATGCTACAGGCTTTATGTAATAATTTTAATGTGAAAAATATGCAGGCCACGCTTCACTGCTCTTTGCATATACTGCAAAGAGGAAAAAAACCTTAAAAATTGCTTAGCTTTAATTGAGCAAAAGGATTCACATGTGATCTGAACTTCTGGCTCATAATTCCTCGAGACAGCTTCGGTTGCAGTGTGATGATCCTAATTAAATTATGTAACGGCACTGAACTAACTAAGCCAAAGGGCCTGTTCTTTCGTATCACCTGGCCATTTAACTCTTTGCAGGATTTTGAGTTTTGGGCTCCGATCTTCTACCACGATTTTTTATGTTTTTTATTGTTAAGGGTAGGAAAACACAATATTGACGGAATACGCCTTGAAAGTTTCAGCCTGTAGGTGGCAGCATTGTAAGGTTTTGGAAGTCTTGAGCTCTGAGGTCTGCCTGTTCTAGCTGCCTTTCCCCCACGCCTCAACCTCCACCACCTCCCCCCGCCCCCCACCTCATCAGGCCCAGCTAACATCATTACACACTCATGTCAGGTAAAACTAAAATGGAGAGAAATGTCATAGCCAAAAAATTAGGCTTTGTTCACTTAGGTCTGTGTTTCATTATATCTCTGATAATATGGTACATTTGTAATTCTGACCTGAGATTCAGCTAAAGGAGGCTTCTCAGTAGTCCGAAGTTAACCCATTGCAAACCATACACCTTCAAGATAGGCATTTTACCAAATACAGGGAAGGAAATTATACTTTGGGTGAATAATTAATTTAACTTAAGCATACCTATTTTAATCACTTGGGAACAAATCAGAAGGCTTCAAGAATACATATCAAAACCACCTTATGAGGTCCTACAGCAACCTTAGCATCCTAATAAAGGTTCTTTCTTTCCTTCTTTCCTTCTTTCTCTTTCTTTCTTTCTTCCTTCCTTCCTTCCCTCCTTCTTTCTTTCTTTCTTCTTCCTTCCTTTCTTCTTTTCTTTCTCTTTCTTTCTTTCTTTCTTTCTTTCTTTCTTTCTTTCTTTCTTCTCTTTCTCTCTCACTCTCTTTCCTTCCTTCCTTCCTCCCTTCCTTCTTTCTTTCCTCTGTGTGTGGCCACCTGTTTCAGTCTATTTAAGTTACATGATTACTTCTCTGATTTGGGCTGAGTAGAAAAGAAAGATTTACCAAATTTGATATATCTGATTTAAAAGTCATGATTCCTGTGACTTTTAATAATGCATTACTTTGTGCAAGGCTAATATTGTTTAAGATTATACAAATCAAAGCATAATAAATAATAAATAATATATACAGATGTTGGCATGGATTTCATTGACTGTAATGTGTTTCCTAAGACCCACAGAGATCTTACAGTTTCATCTTGTACACATCTCATCTATGAAAGTTATATTTGAAAAATTTCCCTAGGTGATAATGGAACAGTATAGTGTAAGAACATTGGTATCAGGTCTTGTATGAAGTCTTTCGTTAACTGAATCCTTGGGGAAATAGTTTCTGAGGTCAAGATTGACCAAATTATTTAAGTATTATTGAAAATATAAAACAAAATTGTTTCCTCAATAAATATAATTAGCTGTATATACTGCAGTTTCAAGAACAAGCACTGATATTGGGACCAGCTCTTTAAATAAAATAGGACCTCTGTGGTCTCTGGAGGGAACATGCATAAAGCAAAGTAAATGATTTTCTGTCAACACTAAGTAGACAGGTGCTTACATTGAACAGCATTCTAATATGTCTCTGAATATTTATGTCTTCTTTTTCAAATGCATTGCCCATGAATGTCACAGCTGTCAAATGTCTGTACACAAGAAGATAAAAAATGAAATTAATAAAAGGCAGATCAACATTTTGTTTGTTTGGAACACTTTTCCTCCCTGTTTCTTTCTTTTTTCTTCCTTCCTTCCCTTTTTTTTTAATGCAGCTGTTTTTTAGGATTTGGACACATCTACATTTTCTAAAAGGCCAAGGGAAATGTGAGTTGACTCATATTTTAGGCTGGCACCAGGGTCTGTCTCAGTATTTAAACACCCACATAATCAATGGAATTAATTACCAAGAGAACCAGGGTCTGAGGATTTTTCTAGCCATTTCCGCTGTCCATGTGCTTGGTTTGCTTGGGTGCCACAAACGAGATTCTGACAGGTTGTCACTGCCCCAACCTGAAACTCAAGTTTGTGAGGTGAGAGGCTCTTAAATCTTTCTGCTTCTGTAGCCCAGAGTTTTAGCTCTACAGAGTTAGTGCCAAAACAAGCCATCATGTGCCCTCAAGGTTAGAGAGGAATTTGGTTTTCAGAGCAGAGATGACTAACTAGAATTGGTGGTGGATCAAAGCAATGGAAAAGGGCCATTTAGTCGACAGATCCTGCCTCTCTGCTTCTCTTGGTTCCTGAAAGGACCATGTGTACAAAGAGCGCGTGTTGGGATGAACTAAGCAGTTACTTGACAAGCATTTATTTATTAAGAAGCACCAAATTTTGAAGTGTCTGGTTATTATTATTACTAACTAGTCCTCAGCCAAAATATCCCCCCAGCTACTTCTATATCCCCCCTGAATTGTTTGAACCAACCACTGGGCCAAAGGAAAGAATGTAACTTAAATGCTGAACCGGGATTTAAGCATAGGGACTCTCTGCAAGGGCAAAACAAGGTTTTGTCGTTGATGAGAATTTTTTAAAGAAAAACTCTCCAAATCATCCAGTATTATTGTAAAAGCCTCTGTTTATTAAAACTTAAAATTTGTTGTCCAGATTTTGGTGACCTAATTGGTATTTCATTGATAACCACAAATATGAACCAGGTGTAATAAATACCAGTTTAGCTCAGATTTGATTTGGAGAACATGCTGATTGCTCCAATTTTGTTATATTTATAAAAGTTAAAAAAAGTCACCCATAATGTCAACTATGGATTTTGAGTGATTATGATGTGTCAGGGTAGGTTCAACAATTGTAACAAATGTACCACTCTGGTGGGAGATGTTGACAATGGGGGCAGCTATGTATATATGTGGGTAGGGAATAGATGGGAAATCTGTTCCTTAACCTTAATTTTGCTATGAACCCTAATACTTCTCTAAAAAAATAAAGTCAATAATAAAAAACAAAAAACAAAACAAAACAAAAAAACACCCACATAGGTTCAGTTCTAATTTGAAGATGTTCACTGGGCTCTTTTTTTTAAGTAAGTTTCAGTTGAGTTGGCAGTCTGATTAAACAAATATTTGAGTCTATTTATATTTGAAGTTCTATAGTTTGTTACATGGCTTAGTTCAAGACCCTTTGGTTAGCATTATGCTATTGATATGGATCATTTCAATATTATATTAACCTGTTACAATATTATATTAACCTGTTAGCAGTTTAACCTCTTATCAATAAAATTGTGGGTGATCCGACTGGCATGACTTATAAGCATTTTTTTGAAGGTTGCTGCTGATCCTTGGCTCCTGCCTAGAATTTCGCTGCATCTTTGCCCATTGAAACTCTACTCCTTTATCAAGATCCAACACAAACACTAAAATTTCCATCAAGCCCTCCCTGATTCTCCTTAGAACTTTTTTTTTTTTCCTGTCCTTTTTGCATACCACTTTGGATGTATTTTAATTAAAGTATCATATTATGCTTTGGGTTACAAATGGTTGTTTATGTGTTTACTTTTTCCAATATGTCATAAGCTCTTTGAGAGTAGGGGATTTGTCTGTTTTGAAATTTGTACTATCACAGTTCTAGTACTCTTGTTTGCAGATTACTTATAAACATTGTGGCTTTTGATGTTGGTTGAATTTTTGTTGTTGCTTGTTTTGTTTGTCAATTTGTATTGGTTGGAATGGGTCACTTGGAAGGAAAAAAAACTTATAGCTATAAAATATCATCTAAATGCTTACCATTGAAAACCTTCTAGGGCATTTCACAACACAGACATAGAATATCTAAAAAATATGCAACCATTATAAGCAGTTCACTGGTAAGTTCACATTTCAAATAGGTTGCATCTGTTTCTAATCAGGTAACTGAATGATTAGCAGGAGAAAACATATGATTAGAAAGCATGCAACCCTTGCTGATATATATTATTTTTAAAGCTCTACAAAGCTAAGGTCAATAAAGAAATAGTACATGCAGCAAGAAGAGCTAGATTAGAGGAAGAGTTTCAGCTGTAAGCCCTTTTGTGAGCTGTTGTAAAAACAGAACTAATTTAACTGATGAGTTGAGGCATTTGGGACTGACATGCAAACTAAGGAATGTGCAAATAGATGAGAAGAATGGTGACTAGAAAAATTATGAGAGTTGTAGTTGAAGAAAATAAAAAAAAAGTTTACTGAGTAGAAAGTTAATGAACAGATGATTTCATTCCTTTTTATAGAGCCATACTTTAACTCAAAGAAAGCTAGTAAGAATAATGGGGAAAAGCTCCAAGTTTGAAAAAACAAAATAAAGAGGGGCTATTACAAACAAAGAATGTTGGAAAGCTCTTTGTTTACTTTCATTATTAATGGGGAAAAAACAACTTTCTTGAGGTTATATATCATTTTAAGATTATACTTATCTCTTAGCTTAATCCATCACATTGAACTACCTCTCTTTTGAACAGTTTTACACCACTGAGCCTGAAGTTCACAGAAGGAATGAACAAAAAGCTCTGTTCTCTACTCCTGATTTGAACCAGACACAACTTACTTCAACACTGCATGCTGTCCTTCAGTTAATTACCCTCCTGAATTCTATCAGATGTCCCCCTGTCTGCAAGCTACAGACAGTCTGCAAGGGTAGAAAGGTATGGTGAAATTTGCTCTTGGTAACTTGCTTTTTGAATTGACTTGGTAGTATTTTTCCAGAGTTTATTGCAGAAACTGGCTACACTTTTCTACAGACCATCCTTACTCAGTGTAGTTGAGACTCTCGTTGGCTTAACAGAACTTAAGGTTTGAGAATACCAGTGTACCCTACACAGCTATTTTTTTTTTCACAGCCATTCTGAGAAGAAGGGAAATTTGGTCTGATGTGAAAGTCCATTATGCATACAATGCCTTAGAACACTGGGTTTATTATTATTTTTTTTAATTGGATTTTGAGACTCAAGTGAGACTCAAACTTGAACGTAAGTTCCACGTTCAAAGGAACTTAAAGCCATGGGACCCCTAGCCTTGGGAAATACTCAGAAATCTTGGAAGGTATAGACCCTCCAAAGAACATGCAGTAGGGACCTTGAACCAATCCAAATATAAACAACCGAATAACTTCACCTGACACTGGATTTACTTTTTGCCATTATTTTTCCTCTTCTGGGTATTTACAAGCTTATAACTTAATTACATGCTGTAGTTAACTAACATGATTTGAGCAGTTGTTTTTCTGAAGGCTATCCTTCTGATCAAATTCAAAGGCTTAATAACCAAAGTTTACGGGAGTTTTTAATATGAAATTTGAAATATGGGTCTATTTTCTTTATGAAATGCCCCTATGTCATTTATAGAATTCTAGTATCTACTTTAAAAAATAGCAAAACAAAACTTTAAGAAAGGACACATTGATTCTTATAATTTTATCCCAAATTATTTCTGTTGCAGCTTTTGCCAATTAAGCTCTGTGTTCATGTTCAAATAGAATAGCTGGTGTCTGTTTCCTATACGGTTTTCATAGGCTTGAAGATCATTTATATTAGTCTTTAACCTTTCTAGCTCCAGCCCAAATAATTCCACATTCCTTGATCTTTTCCCAGGGATCTTATTTTCCATAAATAATCACAAAACCTCTAGACCCATAAAATCTTATAATCCAGGATCTGTTATATTTCTTTTCTTTTTTCCCCCCTTTCCTTTCCTTTTCTTTTCTTGATAATAAGAATAAAGAGGCTAAGAAATGCTTCTTCAAAAGTGTGGTAAGAGAATTTAATATTTTTAATTTTATCATTAAAGTTGTAGATTTTCCTCATAGTTTATCTTTTGCTGAAGACATTCAATAAAACCTCTTTTCTAAAATTCAGACTACACATTTATGTCAATCAATCTACACCCTGCAAAACAGACCAGCTCACCACTCAGATCAATCTCTAAGCACATAGGAATCTAGGCAAGCACTCGTCTTTATAGAACAACTTAGTTTAAGCAATTAACAATCAAGCCCTATACACATAAACACACTATAATTAACTGTTTAATAGTGGAAGCTTGCTTTTCACATTTTTCCCTTTGAGTGTAGTCAAGGTGAATTACTTGTTTTTTCCATCACTAAATGCTACAGCAGCTCAGTCTTTTGCAAGTCTCCAGTCTCCACATATTTTTCTATACCCACTATATTTGACAGTAAAACTGCCAAGCTCCATTATTTCCAACTGGCAGCAATTTAATACATAGTTGAGTCAGTTATTTAGCTAAATAAATTGCTTAAAGTTAACTCTATTTGTAAGACCACAAGGTGTTTCTAAAATGTGCTGCCCTTTTATATCATAAACCTGGATTAGGTTTACAACCCCATTTCCCCTCAGCAGTTTATAAATCAAACAAAGAACATAGAACAATGCATAAAAATCCCTGTGAAACCACCCTCAGAGTTTTTGTTAATGACAAAAGCATACTGGGAGCTAGATTTACTCTGTATGGTGAAGAATAAAAGTTTGGTTTAAAGTAACCAGAGTTTGTAAGGGTTATCCAAGCTCCTTTAAGAGTGATCAACTTTGAAACGAGAATTTTGTGAGAAGCCACAAGCCATCTGTTCCATGCTTTATCTAGAAGAATGTCAGGTCATGCTAAAAACCTTTGAGCATGCCCTTCCATCTCCTTTGCTCCTACCTATTAACAAACATGCCAAATGATCTTAAAAGTACATGGGAGAATAAATATTGGCTTACTTACGATGTCTCAGCACAGGTGCTCATTAAATATAAATGAACAAATACACAAACACACAAAAACACACAATGCCCACAATGAGCACCACGTAATCTGGCCCAGATGTGAGGTTTTCTTTTCCAGTTAATCAGGATAGGTTTCTGAGCCAGATTAAATGTAGCCACTGTTTTCACCAAAGGTATATTTAAAAGAGTGGAAGGAAGCTAAAGATTAGGGCATTTTCTCTAAGAGCCCCAGTGACTCTCTTCTAAAAGTGAACATACTTCATTTTTATGATTTACTTTCAAGATCTATGTTTAGATAAGAAAAAAGAACCTGTAATGGTTCAATCTGCAAAGAGTACAAACCCACAGATTAGAAACCCAGGTCATATTTAAATGTGTATCATTTCATTTAGATTTAGAAACCTAGCCATGGTGATGTTTTTAGGGAATGGTTTTATGTGCCAAGTGACATCCTTAGTGCTCTGCAGAGCAGAGCCTGCTTGTTTAGTCATTTTCTGAAAGGATATGGACAGCAGAGTAGGTAGCCTTACCTAGCAAGGTACTGTCAACTCTTCCTTATCTACACTAACAGGAGGGAGATAATCCCCGAAGCATTTGCATTTGTCTCTGGAGGGACAATTTTATATTCATTTACATTTGAATATGGACATATTGCACTACGGAGAGAGTTGAAGGTGTTTTCATTCTGTCTCTACTCACCAGGGAATAGAAAATCTACCCCTTTCTCAACTTGCCTGCCTCCCACACCTCACTTCCTGACCCTGTTCCACTTCTTGCAAGGGGAGACTAACGTCTGGTAGACTGAACTCCGGTTTGAAAAGATTTGCATGATTTATTTCTTAAGTTCAAATTCAGGAGCACAGACTTTGAGAAATGAAGATTGATTAAGCAAAAGTGGTGGTATGGGGCAGGATACCTTCCTCAGCAGAAAGAAGCCTAGAAGACCAGCCTCCAGCTTTGTTTCCTGGGCTGTTACAAACCCCTCTATTCTGTTGTGGGCCACCACTGACTGTAATTTAGGCTCTTCAGTAAGTCCAAAGAGATGATGAAAAATTCGCTGGAGAGGTTAAGACCAAAGCGCCACTTTAGTTGTTTGACTTTTAGCTTTTACTGGTGAGAACTGAGACATTTGCAAAAGACAACAAAGCAGAGAAACACCCACAGCTAATCAAGGGTATACAGACCAGGAACAAAGGCAATTATTTACTAAGCCAACTTTTACTTACAGGAGGGAAAGAAAATAAATACAATATTAATAATGAAAATACGTAAAATACAAAAACCTAGGTTAATTTATCTTAATTTTTCAGTATGCCTACCAGACTGCCAGTAAACAAGACAAAGAGAGCACTCTGTGATTTATCTTCTTTTTGCCTACCTTGACTCTTCATGGAGAATTAAAGAAAAGCTAAATTTCCAGAAATCAAACAAAAAGGAAGAAGTAAATTATCTGAATAATCAGTGAATTTATTCTACCAAAAAAAGCTTGAAAGCAATGGTTAAGATAAAAGTAGAAACAAAGCAAGACCACCCCCCAAAAACTGCATAAAAACTTTGATACTAGTTATCTTTAAGAATTATTTCATTGCTTGGAGAAAATGAGCTTCACAAAGAAGGGGAAATACCACACAAAGGCCACATTAAAGAGACAGATTTGGCTGAAATAACTGGACATGTTCTATGAAGAAGTACAGATGTGTTTTGGATCTCAGAATAGTTGGATCACGGTTCTTTTTGTTTAAGTTTATTAAATGTGAATTGTAGAATATTTATATACAGTAGGCCAATCCCCTAAGAAAATACATGTGGGAATCTTAACTAGGAGCTACAACTAGAGGTGACTATGTCTTGCTTCTGATCTGAGTTCTGTTCCTCCTTGGTCTCCTGTCTCTGGATCACTTCCTGATTCTTGTTAAGCCACTCTCCATTATTGCTTATATTGTTCCATGCCATACCCATGATTGTTTTTTATTTGCAATGATGTGCCAATTACATAGAATTCTCCATCTTTGTAATTGTTCCAAGTTCATAGTTTACAGCACAATAACTTCAGTGTTTGCATTTATTTCTGTAGGTTAGTTCTTTCACTTCTAATTTGTTATTACATAACTTCTTGCACATAACAGAACTTCAAGAAGTGTTGAAATCCTCTAATTTCTACAAATACGCCTACACCACTGCCCTTAAATGCTTTCCCCTCTCTCTGTGCTGCTCTAGTGGGAAGGGATTTATATATATTGTTGCCACCTGCACAAAACAGAATCTCTCTAGGAGTTAAAAGCCCTTTACATCGTATTTACCACAAGGTAAGTTTTCTTCTTTCTTCCCTGTGCCATTATTTTGGTTAAAATTCCTTGCCATTTAACTATTTTATGGACTCATGAACATATCACAGTAATTTTTTTTTAAAGATTTTATTTATTTATTTGAGACAGAGAGAATGAGAGAGAGAGCACATGAGAGGGAGGAGGGTCAGAGGGAGAAGCAGACTCCGTGCCGAGCAGGGAGCCCGATGCGGGACTCGATCCAGGGACTCCAGGATCATGACCTGAGCCGAAGGCAGTCGCTTAACCAACTGAGCCACCCAGGCGCCCCATATCACAGTAATTTAATAAAATTTTTTTGAGAATCAACTACATTAGTGATTAGGCCAAACCATCAACTCAGGTTTCTGACTCGGAAGCCATCCACTAGACCACGATCTTGCTTGCCATGGATTTTACTCTATAGAGTAGAGGATATACACACCATTCGAAATAGAAGATAATCCCCTATGGAAACAGTTTCCCATATTGTTTTAACATATTCTGGGCATTTTAACTTTATAGCCAAGATTCATCAATTTGCTGGAGCATATGCTCCAAGGAACTCGTTGCTGAGACAGGGAAGTTTGTTTTAAAAGGTAATGTTAGTTTTGAGAATGGGTTGATATTTGTTTTATTGTTTGTTTGTCTTGC